TTTCCTAATTCAACAATACAGCAATGGAACAACTGACACGTTCATACATTGCATTCATACATCATTTCTACAAACATCATAGCTTATGCAGCACAAATACATATATCACAATCTCATTTATTTTAAGAGCATTATGCAATTCATACATCATGACATCGCATGAAACTGACTTTACCTTCAAGTTGAGTTCGAAGAAATACAAACACTATCAACTTATACAACAGGTCAAAGATTAATGTCCGTAACCAGACGAAAAAACCCTATACTACCAAGTGATATGAACTCCCGAAGCAAAACGGGTTTACCAACAAATACAGCAGGCCACAGATTAATGCCCGAAACCAGACGGAAAAACTATCTATGTGACCAACAAAACAAGTCTCAGATTAATACATGTACAAGCCAGAAGAACCATATGTGGACGATCGACTGTAGATTAATGACTGTAACAAGCCAGGAGAGCTATCTACATAAAGAGATTGAAGATTAATACCTATAACAAGCCAGGAAAACTATCTTTCTTTCTCAAGTCAGAGATTAATACCTGTAACAAGTCAGGACAACTATTTCAACGACCGACAAAAACAAGTTCCAGATTAATACTTGTAACAAGCCAGGAGAACTATTTGAAGACGACCGACTGTAGATTAATATTTGTAACCAGCCAGGACAACTACCTCAGTGACCGACAATTTTCAAGTTCCAGATTAATACCTAAAATCAGACAGGACAACTATTTGCGAACAGCTAATTATAGATCAACACCTAAAACCAGACAGAAAAACTATCTACAAGACTCAGACGAAGCAATCTTACACAGACTTCTTCTCATATATCTTCGGATGCAGACTAACACGGACTCATCCTGGAACAGACCTATACAGGCTCTTTCTAATATATTCTCAGATAACAGTTAATTCCACTATCCCTAGCAAGTTACTGTGAAGCCTGGATTACAACCAGAAAACAGCAAATTGTCATCTCTCCAGAGATAACTCTTCAGCAGAGCCTTGGACAACTGAAGTTCCTAGACTTTATTTCCCACAGAGTTTTCCTAAAACAAAAGAACAACAGAAACCCACATTTCTCGGCGGACTCCTCCTCAGACAACAGAAACAGAAATTCCCCACAAAGAGATTTTTTAGGAAGTCAGCATCTACTTTGGATGGCATCTTTAAGCCCATCTCCGACAACTCTCAATCATCTTCTCCAAATGACATTTGTAAGCCCATTCCCGCCATCATCAACCATCAGTGTTACTACATGCGAGTGCAAATTTCTGAGCACTCTAGTGTTCAATCATCTTCCACATTCAGATCACGAAAGACAGATAAGTCAATCTAAATCTTCAGGTTTAAGAAGATTAAACAGGGACAGCTGTTGTACTCCAAAATTTGTCCTTCCATCTCTCAAAGATTTTTCTCACAAAATTTCCACTAAATCAAGGTTGTACAAAATTTGTTTCGATTAAGCACCTAACCTCCTTCAAGTTTGCTTCAAATTTCCAAGTTTCGATTGAAGCTTTGGCCTTTGCTTGTTTGCTGTATACAAGCTTTCGACTGGGCATTTATTTCTTTTGAAACAGCCTCCTTCGATTTAAAAGGGAAGGGCCTCCTGTTGGTGTCCTTCGATTCAGAAGTTAGTGACTTCCTACTAATTTCTTTCGATTCAAAAAGTGTAGACAATGGCCTCCTGCATACATCCTTCGATTGCACCATTGACTTTACATGCTTGCTTGATTCACAATACAATGATTACCTGCATGCCTGCTTCGATTGAGTAAGGACCTCTGCAGGTTTGTCTTGATGACTACCTGCATGCAAGCTTGATTCCTGCTTCGATTGGGCATTTAATTTCTCTGGAGCAAGTTCGATTCCAGCTTCGATTAGACGTTGAGTATCCTTCGATCAAGCCTAGTTCACAAAGCTCTCACTGGGCAAAAGGCCTCTTCAGCTTGCCTTCAGCACACAAGACCAAGACTCCTTCAGATTTGCCTTCGATCCACCAGGCAAAAGCTTCCTTCGATCCACAAGGCATTGGCTACCTTTGTGTCAACTTCGCCTAGGCAATGGCCTCTCTTACGCTTGCTTTGACCTGCCTCCTGCTAGCATCCCCAAGGCATGGGCTGCCTTTGTGCCAGCTTCGACTGGGCAATAGTCTCCTTTGAAACAGTTGTACACACTTCAACACGCATGATAGTCCCTTCGAAGGCACATTCATGTGATCCCTTCGAAGAAGCATTCATCGGTCCATTCGAAGGACACATGATTATTGAAAAACAAATTTGCTTTGTGATGGGTTTTGCATGTGGCCAGGCCCAGACCTCTTGTGCAATGGCACTCGAAGGTGGTGACAAAGAAGGTTTTCGATTGGCCAGATTGAAATTTTCGTTTGAGTTGTTTGAATCAAACAGCTAGCTGAGTAGAGATTCAATCGAAGAGACCCCAATGATGAAACTTGCGTCATTCGAAAGACACACCTTGGTGGCCCATTTGAAGAGGGCACAAGACATACATACGGACTATTCAAAAGACATTCGAAAGACCCATTTGAAGGATATACAAGAGGTCCAATCGAAGGGCAGAGACTGAAGACATTCAAAAATCATTTATGTCCACATTCATTCAAATTCAAAAAAGAGACAAAAATTCCATACCTTTGGTCAAGTTTCAAATATTTGTTTATGGCTCTTAAAGAATATTATTGAGCATGTTTATTTCCCTCCTGCCTTGTCCCCTCCATATGCTCTATATAAAGGTGGCATTTGCAAGCCTCATAGATAGAGACCGCACGAAAGTTGCAAAAATTCTCAAAGTGGTGAAATTCAAAACTGAATTTCCAGCCATCATTCACCCAAATCAAGTGTGTCATCCTCCTCCTAAAGACCCCAGGATTCATTCTCAGCCCTCATTCAAGCCATCACAAGTCCAGAAGTGTCAAACCGGAACCACCCTTTTGATAAAATTTTCAAATTCGCATCTCTAATATTATGATATAATAATGCCTTTTGATGTTTACTTCGTGCCCAGAGTGATTCATAGGACAGATTTAACATAAAGCGTGTGTGCTTTGATGCTTAAATGTCAAATTGTCATTGATACGGTCTTGAAACTGTTGAACTTCGATCTAGGCGATACAGTCACTTTTAGGCCAATCTAAGGCCAAATTCAAAACCAAGACAGGATTTTACATAAGATAGGACCCTTGATTTTGCTTTAAATTGCATTTTGTTTCAGGTACAAATTTTGGTTGCCTGGAGAAGATGACCGGAGGTCTTCTCCGACACCATTGACTTGTTGACTCCGGCGCAATACCTGTTTCCTTCCCGTTGGTCAGTTTAAATCCACACGCGTTCTTTTTGTTTTCAGATACATTTGACTTTATTTCACATATAATGAAATGCTTTGGTTATAACACACGAATTGTAAAGCAGCTCAATTTGTAAAGGCGCACATGTATGAAAGAGAGTGCCTGGATTCGAATCCCAGATCCAATATTTTACATTTTCTAACATTACTTTGCAGGATTCAGTGCGTTGCACCCCTAAGCGTTCACCATATACCTTCATGTTTGAGCCTTCTGATGTGATGCAAAGAAATCTGACCATCCTGAAGTGCATCTCCACCCTGCAACTCCAAGGGTGGTGCCTACTGGATCATTATTGGGACGTTGGACTCAGACTTTTGGGCCTGACACAAATCCCAAGCGCACCCCCTGTTCACTAATTATCTCCAGACCCAATTTGTTTTTTTTTCTTTATTCTTATTCGTTTTATTATTTATTTCTTTTAATCACTTGTTTTTTAACAAATCATAAAATAAATAAAAAATATTAAATACTTAGATTTTCTTAAATTAATCTTAATTTTATAAATTAATTAATTTAATTATTTTGACATTATTTTTATTAATTTAAAATCAATTAGACTTAGATTTATTTCATTCAAATATTTTCTTAATAAAAACTCAAAAAATAATAGAATTAGTTTTATTAATTAACAATCATATTTCTCTTATTTAATTAATTAGGATCATATTTTTCTCACTTAAATTTTATTTTATTAATAAACACAAAAACAAAAACAAAAATTCTTTAGGTTTACTTAGCTTAATTCTTAGGATTTCTTAGATGTTTCTTTATTTCACGCGCATTATTTTACTTTCGCCTTTTTTATAATAATATATCTGCTGACAGTATGTAATAGATTAAAATAAGATTTTATCGCTTTCTTTATTTTTCCCCCATTTGAACATGTAAATACCTCCTCCCCAAAACATTGTAATAGCGTAGGATTTACATTCCCACACTTTACATTTCTGCACTTTAAATTACTGTATATACCACTGCTAGTGATTAGGCATGTTTAAAAAGACTAATATTAAAACACTAGCAAACCTAAATGTGCAAGACTAAAATAACTGAACATAACACACCATGCACATATACACCTCTAGGGTACCCCACTTCGGTTGCCTTCAGAAAACGGTCACAATTCTCGAAACGTGAGAAGTTTTAATGACTGTCCTCTAATTTGAAAGATCACAAGTCCTTCGATGACCCTCTCCCGAATTTTATTATTATTATTATTATTATTATTATTATTATTATTAATCCCTATTGGCTTCCCATAATAATATAAATTTATGCATACCATCACCCAACAGTTTAAACTTTAGGGTAGTTGCTTTCCGCAAAAATGGTAGTAATAAAAACTTGAATCCTTCTTATTATCAAATGTGAAAAATAAGAATAAGAAATTTTCTGAATGGGCTTAAGTGAGTAAAGCACTCAGCAACCTTGATATTTATACACACTATATAATTAATTACATATTATGTTTACATGGAAAAATAAATAATAGTCCAACCCTAAATGCATGAATCTAAATATACATGAACCTAAGACTTAGATGCTCATTTTAGTGGAAAACATACAATTTATTTTTCTATTTCCAACACTAAACATACATATATTTATACAACACAAGCTTATTTGCGTACCTCTTCAGAATGAGTTTCATCCCTTGGGATGTTAGTAAAACTACTTCCTTCACCACCCATATCATTCAGCAATGGTTCCACATTGGAGTCAACTCTCCTCTCTTGTCTTGCCCTTTGCAGAAACACCCATCCAAACAACACAAAAACCAATAGAATATACAAGAGAGCTATTGAAAAATCCACACATCTGACCTGTAGTATTATTATACAAAAACCAACGTCATGAAATACATCAAAAGATAAACCATCTTTTAAGAAAGAAAGCAGGGCATTGGATTTATCTTGTCTTGAGGTGAAAGACATTTAATCATGAAAAAGAATCAATTCTATTGTTTCAACCTTCAGAGATCCCATTCTAATGGAGCAGGGCTCTTTTATGGGTGGTGAAGGTTCTGAACCCGAGCAGACAGGAGCTGAAGGACAATCACCACAAGAGCAGCCGAGTGAAGTGTCATTACATGAATAGACAGATGGATTCATAGGTTTCATAGGAGATGAGTCAGGAATGGTTGTCTTAAATTGTATAGAATAAGGTGAACCAGGACCACCAGGAGGCACTTTTTCTCCAAGAAATGCAAACCACTCTGGCATTGTTAATCAAAAATAAATTGCATAAGCACATAACGAGCATGTATAATCCAAGCATATGAATATAAATGTTCTAATGGCATGCAAACATTGCTTAAGAAGAAGCTACTTACTACTTAAATAAGAACGAGAAAATGTATTAATTACACATTTACAATTAAAACAACTCAAGAAATGTTGTAGTTGACTTGACTGTATCAAACAACGAAAATATGATGTTAAGTAGGAGCTACTTTGTGTTTGTTTCCTTTATTGGTGTTGCACTAGTGTCACGTGAACATTCTAACGGAAGATATGAGGTTTAGTTATACTGAATTTTTCACTGTACGGTTCAAACTCAATTTCCGTGAAATGGGGGTTGCAAAAAGGAAGAAATTACATACCCTCAAAAAGTTGTCAGAGCTCTGCTCTTCCAGTATCAGTTTCTAAATCCTGTTAGGGAGAAATTGTCCTAATTTCCACATATTTTATCAACATGTGACCGTCTTGTGTCGTGATTGGTACTAGCACTACATACAATGTTGTCAAACTCAAGATCCTACACATAATTGGAAGGGATGAATGATCGTAATTTGAAGGACCGACGCTGCCTGGATTTAGTTTTGAAGGTGACAATTTCCCCCTCTCCAATCCCAATTGGGTGTGGTATTTTGACTCAAGAAAACTTGTGAGCTACGCTCTATTTTTTTAGAAGGAAGTATTAAACATGATTAAAATAGTCATTAGCATTGTTGACGTCTTCTAATATTCACATCAAACTAATTTTATATCATAGAGAAGAAATTTGGGAAAACTACGATAACTTCATATTTATGTTTGAGTACGAAAATCTAGGTAACTTGGGTTCACCAACAAGGATCGCAAACCATCGAGCAATGGAATTACTGGATTAGGTGAGGGGGAACCCATATATTCGTATGAACAAGACAAAACAGAAAAGTTCTTCTTTGCACTTGTGTTTAGCAAGCTCACGTCACAATGAAGACTCTCAATATCTAATTTGCTAAAAACTTAAGGAAACAGAATTTTGACCCCCTAAAACAAGGATGCTTTAACCGACAATAATAAAGAAAACCTTCTCCATGTTGGAAAGTGTCAGAATTTCCGCCTAAATTGTGGTCTTCCCTCAGTCACCTAAATTGCGGCATTTGGTCATAAGAGAGAAAATTGCAGTCCTGGAATTTCTGCCTAAATTGTGGTGATTTCTTCGTGCTGCTGAAGAAAGCTCTCGTCATAAGAGAGAAACCAACTAGGGTTTCAAAATACCCCTAGACAGAGATGGCAGCAAATGACTCAGGCCATCAAAACAAAACTGGAAATGGTTGGCGAATTGATCAAAAATAACCTCAATAAATAACGTAGGAAGCAACATAACACGTGAACATTAGTCGGCAGGTGCAGAGTGTTGAACATGCGAGTAACTACATGTGAGAAGGAGGTTGGGCATTGGTTTCTAGGTTTTGGCTGAACTTTGCACTACAACCCAAACGATGAAGCAATCAGCCTAAAATATGATGGTTGGTGGTGGTGGATGGCGGTTAATGACGGCAGATGGTGCAAAGTTGTGGGGGAAAATCAAAGCAATGGAGGCACAGAGAGCAACAACTCACAGAAGCACTGAAGGCTTCTGTTTAGCAACAGAAACGAAGAAAACTAGGGTTTCTGAAGGTAATGGGTTTTTTTTATCGAGTGAGCGGAGTCTTCTAAATCTACAGCTCTGTTAACATCTGGAAAAATTAGGGTCCTATCGAATAATTTTAGGCTTAAAACTCGTTAATATTTTGTATTAACAATGAGAACTATATATATAGGAGTCCTAGCATTGACTTTTTTTACTCAAAGCATTGACTTAAATATGTACATAATATTCTCATTCCTTGAATTAGGGAATCGACGTTGTCTTTGGTTACTAGGTAATGCAAACAAAATTCTACCTCCTAATACACACATCCCTAAATATACAGACTTTCCCACAAAAAATGAGGTAGGTTATATTCAAAGATGCTAGCACTACTTTAAGAAAAGAAAAAATATCGATCTATTCTAAGTTGCAATCCCTTGATTTTGGCATCTTCTTGGACTATAGCCTAATTACTTATACACTCGTCACTAATTAATGCATACATTCCCTAAAGAGCCCACAGATTCCCCCAACACCAACCAACACATTAGGGAAGGGGGCTTTCAAATTGAAATGGTAAGATCACTTGTTTAACAAAGTTTATGCAACTTATATAATAATCCAACCATGTTATAATGGATCACCTTCATAATTGCTAGCTCCAGCCCCAACAAAATCTATAGCCCGTGTATTCATTGTCCCAAATTTTACGTCCTTACATGCTTGATATAAACCATCTCCAAAAGTTTCAGTTACATAAAAATCAATACCGTCCACAGTCGTATTACCAGTAACCTGAAATGAAGATAAATTAATCAACACCAAATTACAACTATAGTCTGGATGTAGTAATTCATAAGACTAAATCACACTATACAGTGCCTTTTATATATCTTTCCTTATTTGCCAATTTTATTTTTCCGTCTATCGATTATAAAAACCAGTAGAGGGACAACCTACAGTCATAATATAAGTGTAAGCCAGCAATAAGAAAATATGCCTATCTCTAGTTATTGACTAAGTTCATTTGCCCAAACCATCCATAAATTATGATAAACTTCAACAGTAGCATCTCCCAACCAAGTTGGATCATTTGATTACAATCAATTTACAAAGATATATAATCATGGAAGCATTGTATACAATTCTTGTAACCATAAAATACCATGGAGCATAAACATGAAAAAAAGTCAAAACAAGAGTGTTACTAGTAGAAAATAAGGTCGAAAATTGAAACGCCTTACCTGAGAAACAGAAGTGACATTGATGAAGAGACTCTGATTAGGAGAGCAAGAAAGTTCACAGAAAAGATTCAGAAAGTTCCTCAAACATGCAGGACAGCCAACTAGAATGGGTACGGCCTGAAAGATATGAATATGCTTGAGTAAAACAGGATGATGATGATGATGATGATGATGATAATACTAAAAACACAGCGAAACGTATAAGGAAATTAACAACTTGCCTGTTGAACCTGTGCCCTTAATGTTTCAAACTGTTGCTCGGAACAACAAACATTTCCATTTAAAGAGGGACACAGACTTTGAATTTTAGCGGAGAAAAGATCATCGGGCTGGAATTGAAAAGCATAGTAAGTAAATATAATCAAAAATGTAAAAGTAAAATACTAGGTTTGAAATTGATTGTGACCTTGACGGAAGGTGAAGAATAGGGGCAATTGAGAACTTTGCCATCACTGCGTTGACCACAGATATCATACATTGCGCAGTATTCATCGGAATGAATTGCCCTAAACAGAAAGATATTAATTTGGAATTGAGAAATGAAATTAGTTAGGTAGTGATGATTTAGAAAGAATTATGGTAACTTACATCGCGGTAGTGAAAGAAGGCGAAGAAGAGAGTACAAGTACCTGAATTAGCATAGATTATAGTCATAGTAGAGTTAGAGTGAAGTGAATTGAAATGAAGAGAACAAGAAGAACCTGAAATAGAAGACTAATTCCAGCGGAGAAGATGATATTCGTATTCATCTTCATTTTTTTCCTTCGGTGATCAGAGGAAACTTTCATCAAAGACGCAAGCAACAACCAGAGTTAGACAGAGAGGGCGGTTTACACAACCAAGAACCGACTAAGAATTTCTAACTTTTATTTATTGCCAAATTTTTATTTTATTATTATTCCTAATATATAATCACTTTCTTTGTTAAATTATTAGGAAATTTATTACGACACCCTATATAGAAAATAGACACTTTATATGTAATTTCAAAATTGTTTCTCGGAAAATTAAAAGTATATTTTCGATTTGTATCATATTTTGCACTAAACAGGTTAAATATGGTTTCACTCTTCAAAATACAAAAAATGATATTGAAAGTATACTTCTGATTCTAAATTGGAATTATGTTTCCGACTCTATTAGCGGGAAGAGTAAAATTTATTGCCACCTTGACATTTCATATATAATCGGATGTATAATTCTGGTTTTATGGACGATGCAAGTTAATTAAAACAGTAATCAGTATGGTCATGTTTGATCATCACCATTTATTCTTTCTTTCCTTAAAACCTATCAAAAACTCTCATCATTCTCAATCTATTTTGCATTCCAAATTATCATTTTGTGGTTCATCATATTAGAAAGAGCTTAAGACATTAGAATTTCAGATAAATTTTATTCATTTCAAACATTATTCCCTACATTAATTTGTTATTTATTGTAGAAAAAGGTTACGTACAAACCGGATGTATACTTTCGGTTGTTAGTTGAACAGAACCGGAAGTTAATTTCCGGTTTCTGTCTGTGTTTATTTTGACAGCAATCTGTCAATGTTACATGTCAATAAGTTTTGTGTTTTATTTAATATTAGGCATGGTGCACCCCAATAACAATCTCAAACGTGATGTGTCTCAAGTTGTTGCACCTCTCGTAGTTTCTCCTCTCGTAATTAAGGTGGTAGATGTTCGTGAGCAATTTGAAAATGTAGAAGAATTTGAATTACGTGAAGATATGTTCCATTGGATTTGTATAGAGGCTACGAAACTAGGATTTGGTGTTGTAATTTGAAGGTTTGATAATGGTACGGATAGAAGAAATGCATTTGTGATTTTGACATGCGAAAGAAGTGGAAAATACATACGTCGTATCCAAAATTTGAAACGCGACGACACTGATTCGAGAAAATGTGAATGTCCATTTAGGTTGCGTGGTTATCTTATGGCAAATAAGAAATAGAAATTTAATGTGCTATGCGGCTTACACAATCATGATTTAAGTCAAAAGTTAGTTGGTCATCCAATTGCATATCGGCTCCTTCTGGATGAGAAGACATGTGTTTTTTATATGACTTTGAATTTGGTACCGCCCAAAAACATACTTGCAACTTTGAGGCGTAAAAGATCCTAGAACACATCAAATATCAAACAAGTTTATAATAAGTGTTATCAAACCAAAATAGCGCTTAGAGAGGATCGAACCGAGATGCAACACCTCTTGAAACTTTTATATGAAAACAATTATGTTTGTAGGCACCGACAAGGTGATGATGGGGTAACAGTAAGAGATATTTATTGAACTCATCCTGATTCCATTGAATTGTTCAATACGTTTACCATCGTGCTCATAAATGATTCAACGTATAAGACCAACAAGTACAGGCTTCCATTGTTGGAAATTGTTGGTGTTATGTCGACTGAGAATACGTATTTTGTTGGTTTTGCATTTCTAGAGTGCGAAAAAGAGGACAACTTTGGATGGGCTTTAGAGGTTTGTAGGTCAATATTGAAGGATCAAGAAGATATGCCGAAAGTCATTGTTACCGACCGAGATACAACATTAATGAATTTGGTTTCAATTGTATTTCCCACTTCTTACGCATTACTTTGTAGGTATCATATTACTAAAAATGTGAGAAGTCGGGTTAAACCAACGGTGGGGACAAAACAGGTTGCAGGTGAAGATGGAAAATTGGTCAAGGTGGGTGTCATTATGGAGAAAACTATGGATGCATGGAATGTTATAATAAATGCATCTACAAAAGAGCTATACGATGATGTTATTTTACACTTCAGAAATATTTGCGTGAAATATCCTGATCTATTGAAATATGTTGAAAGCACAATTCTTGATCAGGTTAAGGATAAGGTTGTTTGTGCCCGGACCGATCAGGTTATGCACCTCGATAATACAACAACAAACCGAGTTGAGTTTGCGCATGCATGTTTGAAGAATTGGCTTGGAAATAGCAAGGGTGGTTTGATTACGGGTTGGGAATCTGTGAACCAGATGCTACTAAATCAGCATAACAAGATACATATAACATTTGGTCGTAGTATCACGGTGTTGGAACACAAGTTCAAAGACAACACGTTATATTTTCAGTTGGTTGGTAACATATCTTGGGCAGCTCTGAATTATATTTTTTACGAGGCCAAACGAGCTTCTAATGTAGGTTCTGACAGCTCAAAGTGTGGTTGCACAATTGTGAAAACATATGGTCTCCCTTGTGCTTGTGTCATATCTAAGAAGATGAAAGTTGATAGCCCGATACATATGGACGAGATCTCCAGTCATTGGAAGAGACTAAGTTTTGACGATGATGGTAAAATGAAAACCGATAAATCAAACATCTTCATCTTGACCAAATGGGAAGCGATACAAGAATGATTTTTGAAAGTTGATGACGCCACCAAACTCAACATCAAATAACAATTTAGGAAGATTATGTTCCTAGAGACCACAGACTTGAGACCATCATCCCAACCGATAAAAACTAAAGGGGCACCTAAGAAGGTGAAACTGACATTGGGCGACAGTTCAACTATGAGGAGTCCTTCATATTTTGAACATGTTGACAAAGTTTTTTCGGGTTCACCTACAATTAAATCTTAGAAAAGTGATTTCAAAAGAGAATGTATTAGGAAACCACCTCCTACACTAACTCCACCCAAAATACCATTCATCGATCACATGTCGTTTTTTATGCACAAGTACATTGAATGGACCGTCAATATGGGGTGACGGTAACTGTGGTTTTTGAGCTGTTTCGGGTTTTCTTGGTAGAGGGGAAGAGTATTACCATATTGTCCAAGATACCCTAATTAGATAGTTGATGGGAAATGGAGAATTATACACACGTGTGCTAGAGAGTAAAGAGAAGGTTGAGGAAATATACCATGCACTTGTACCTCCCAAGGTTGAATTTGCATCAGAGGATAAATGGATGCGCTTCCATGAAATATGTCATCTCATAACAAGTGCGGATGAGAGGGTGTGTATTAATCTTATAAGATACGGTTTCTCAGAGACTTATTTCCCTCAGTGCAATGCTCTAACACCAAATCCCAATGATTGTATCATATGTGTTGGGTGGGTTTCAAATTTGCGGCATTTTGTTCAAGTGTATTTGAAATCAGGATGCCCTATACCACCTACATCATCAGAGTGAGCACTTCATTTCACAAACCCATTCGAGACCTGGCCGGGCCAATTCATTGAAAGGGTGCAAGAATACAACAAGTTGAACCAAATTGAAATAGAAGAAAGATAGGGAAATTCAAAAGGGATGCCACCGGTGGATTTATCTGGCGACACTTTTTTCGGCTCATTCAAGTAGTTAGGTATCATTTTATTGTTAACATCATTTTGTTCATGTATTATGATCTGGAAATATAGTCATTTTTGTAGTTTGACCAAAAATACAATATTTGAATACATGAGGTTTTTTTATTAGAGTTGTTGTTTCTGTTCTATTTCTGGTTTTTCACTCCCAGGGCCTTAATTAAAAATATACTTTCGGTTCCATTTAATAGAAAACCGGAAATTAATTTTCAGTTCTATCACTGACACGGAGATATGATTTGTATGGTTCATGTTTACCTCCAACTACTATAAAAAAACCTCACTTCTTCTATTTTTTTCATACTACAACACCAAAAACCAAAAATGGACATGAAATTGAACATCAAATGGCATGTTGGAGTTGTCCACTCTGTGAGGGCAAGATTTCAATGATGTCAAAACTATGTTGGAAATGTTGCTAGATGATATGGTGGACAAAGTAGCATGAAAAGTCTTCAATAATTGGTATTTTTGATGATTTATATTCTATGAGTCGACTAAAAGAAAGCTCAGGTCGACACATGATTAAAAGTTGCTCCTTTGGGAAGTCTCGGGTTTGCTTACGTCGACTATATGGTTGACTCATCCTGGAAGTAATATTTAGGAACTATGCATCGACGCATACCCCTAGAGCGGTCGACGCATAGATCTTGCACTCTGTCATGTGGCATCTTCGGGAATGCTCGGGTTGAGTCATTCTTCTGCATAGGTCGACGCATGGATCGTGAACAATGTCATATGGCACCTTCAAGAATCCTCAGGTTGAGTCACCTCTTTTGCATAGGTCGACGCGTGGCTTGCATACACTGTCATATGGAACTTACGGGAATGCTCAGGTTGAGTCCCCTCTTACATAGATCGATCGTTCGCTCGTAAAAATTGTTTTTCAGTCTGTTAGTTTGGGTCTTTACCTTATATATATATATATATATATATATATATATATATATATATATATATATATATATATATATATATATATATATATATATATATATATATATATATATATATATATATATATATATATATATATATATATATATATATATATATATATATATATATATATATATATATATATATATATATATATATATATATATATATATATATATATATATATATATATATATATATATATATATATATATATATATATATATATATATTTGATTATTTCATTTGGTTTTAACAAGAAAAGTGAAATAGATGCACAAGGTACTCATCATGTTCAACCTCTCACTCATCCATTGACAACTACACATAATAATTTATGTTGATCAAGGTGCGGAGTGTGTGTTGACAACGTCCGATGTAGAAGATTGCGATCTTGTTCAGGTTGAGTAATTATGGGTTTTTCTTGAATAAAATCTGAGGGTTTTGTCCTCCAAGATCATTGGGATTTGGGGGGTTTTGAAAATTCTTTGCTTCATCAAATTCAGTT